GGCTTCTGCCACTGGCCATTCAAAGCAAATCCTCCCGCGTTTGTCTTTCTGTTTCAATTTCTGTGGGAAATCGGCAGTTAAACGTCTGTGGCTAAGGAAAGCGTTACTTGTGTCTTGCGCTGCGTACACCGGTGTGTTGGGTAAGCGTGATGGTGCCCTGCCCACGGACAGGAGCTGGTTGACCCGGTGCTGAGAATTGGCAAGAAGCAGTTTCTCTACGGGTTGCTGAAGCATCGTCATTCCTTCCTTCTGGGAGCTAAAGGTCACGTCTGATCCCCCGGGAGAGTGAGATTCCTGGCCGTGGAGAGCAGCCCATCAGCAGGGGCCGACACCGTTGGTGATGAGCAGGAACGCTCAGGTGGATTCATCCCCAGCCCAGGGGAGCATTTCGCTACACCAGGAGTGAGGCCTCAGCAGGCACAATCCAGGCCGTACCCTGAACTCCCTCTCCGAAGACAGACCCGTAGCTTACACTGAACGCTCCAATTTTCCCCAGACTTTCCCGAGCCTTAGAACTCTTAGAGCTCTTGCTTTTGGAGTAAATCAGGATACAGTTAATAGGTACAATTAATGTCTATTCCTTAGTGCAGCTGCTTACAAGATAACTGTTTAATTTTGAAACATGTCTCAAGAACTGTAATTTTTGGACACTTATTCCTAGAAGACAAGTGTCTTGCTGTTCATGAAATTAAGTGGATGCAAGTGATGCTTACACAGTCATGTACAACTGTTTAAACTGCTAAATTTCAAATGTTTTGCTGGAAATAATAACATGTTTTCTCTGACACGTGTGCTGTAGTTTTTGAGAAAATAATTCTTCTGTTGTAGCCCTCCCAAGAGATAACGTGGGGGGTTCCATGAGGTTTTCTAAATGCATAGTTTAAATATTAGAGAATTAAATCACAATTAAAACAGTCGCTTTTGGAGAAAGGAAGCGCGTCGATTGTGTTCTCGGTGAGCAGCCAGTACGTAACAAAGGCTGACGGACGGGTTCTCAGGTAAAGGTACCTGTTCTGAGGGTGGGACGGGGCACGCTGGTGGGGATGGGATGCTGCACCAGCTCTGCAGCCCCAAATAACGGCAAACGGAGGAGCTGTTGGCACACTGGCACAGAGGGAGCAAGAATCACATCCATCATGGGGGTGAGGAAGGGGCAGTTTACCTAATAAATCAAGCCTAACCTCATTTTTTCACTTAATTTTCAGCTCAGAGTAACGCATTGTTTTCTGGCTGTTGTTGCTGTGGGCAGAGGCGTCGCAGCCTCACGCTTTCTTGAAGAAGTGTTTGCCATGGGGTGGAGGATGGGTGAATGCGGGGCCCGAGAGCAGATCTTGTACCCTGTGATCTCAATAGCCAACAAGCCACTTGCTTTACCTTCCCTACGCGAAGGCAGGTTTCCACCAGGAGACTCCTCATTCTCAGGGCAAAGCAAGGATGAGCATAACGCAGCAATAAAGCGCCCCGATCGGTCGTGTTCTGACACCAGCTTCACTAACCTCAGGCTGCTGCTTCTTAATCTCACATGGCCATAAAAAAAGCATTACCACCTCTTAAGGCAGAGTCACAGCCCAAAGCTTTGTCGCTACAGGGACACTCCCTGTGTGAGGAAACTGGGTTGCCTCCTCCGCCTCCTAAGAAAACATTCCGCACCACCAAGCGCCTTCCCAGAGATTGAGCCATCGCAGGACAAGGCGGAAGGTCCTCACCAGGACTAACTGGGAAAGACTTTTTAAAATCAAATCGACCAAGAATGGCTTATATTAATTTTATTTTAGAAACATCCAAAAATAGGGTGTTGTTTTTTTTAAACAAAAGCTTTTGTCCACCACACTAATATGAATCTTCATGTAACAGTGCTCAAGAACATTTTCTAAAATACACATTTACCCTTGAAAAAGGAGTTTCAAAGCAGTAAAATTCGTATCTGCTGTACCTCGTTGTAGATGCAGCACTGTTACAGAGAGCTGCTGGTGTTTCTTTCCCTCCAGACAACTAATGAGAATTAGGATCCTCACGGAGAAACCATGCAAGCTAGAAGTTACTTACCTAGTTCAAGCTCTTTGTTGCTAAGAAGGTAATAAAAGTGTTCCAGAAACGGTGTCCTGCTGCTATTTCACAGTGAGAAAAGAAAGCTAATGGAGCAACCATGAGAAATTCTGCAGCCATTCCTGGAGGTAGTTAGGGCAATGCTGTTAAGATTTTGGTTTCTGTACTTTTGAACTTAAAAAAAGGAGGAAATTCTTCAGTACGAGGGTGGCAAGACTTTGGAATAAATTGCCCAGAGATGTTGTGGCTGCCCCCTCCCTGGAGGTGTTCAAGGCCAGGTTGGACGGAGCCTTGAGTAGCCTGATCTAGCTGAGAGGCGTCCCTGCCCATGACAGGGAGGTTGGACTGGATGATCGCTGAGGTCCCTTCCAGCCTAGGCCAGTCTAGGATTCTATGATTCTATGTCAGGAAACACTGCTCATACGTTTTGGAGGTTTTGATCTTAAAGCTGTTCACCTTTAAAAAAAAAAACAACAAAAAACGGAAAGATCTTGACTTTGGACCTAAATGTACGTCTTGCCGGAGAGCAGAAAACATGAGTTTGATACCAAGAGGCTACGGGGAGCGTGGTGAAGTGTGGCACTAAAACATAGGGCAGCTCGCCACACCACTTATGCTAAACCAGGAGTGGCAGAGCGAGATCACAGCCAGGTGACGAGTCTGATGTAAAATTACGGTGTGCAGATAGACCAGAATCCTTCCAAGAAAGGCCCCGCTCTGAGCAAAGCTTCCCATCGCTGACCTGTTGTCTCGTCATACCGCTCAGTCTGGATTTCCTCTAAAAAGGAATTTCTCTACTAAAGCTCACTTGCGAGCCCGCTGCACTGTGGGTACTGGGCTGTCTTTGTCCTCTCAAGGTACACACGAGTTTCCACATGACACAGCAGTTCCACACACAGCTAAGCCCCTGCTCACACGCTTCCCCGAGACATTCTCTGACCACACGCTGAGTTTGTCCAGCTGTCGCAGCGCAGACAAGTTTGGTTTGTGACGGAAGGAGACCAGGCTTAAACAGATCAATCGTGCAGATGCAAACCAGCCTTGAAGGCATTCAAATATCAGGGACGAACAAGCGGCCTTTGAGAGAGGGTTGTCCTACTTTGAACGAGTACATTAAGGGAAAACTAAAATAAACGTGTCTCTGCTTGACCACACGCATCAACGCAAAGGCTCTCCCCAGCGCTGAAAATAAACACCAGTAATGCCATCAGGATTGGCCTTACAAGACTCACAAGCTCAGCAGTTAATCTGGAAAAGCCCAACAGAAATCAGACAGGCCATAAGATCAGATGTTGCTCGTGGTACAGGCGTTTTCCTACCCCTCTCCCTTGGGATTAGTCAATGCAAACTTTCAGCTGTTCTTTCAGAGGGAAATCTAGTGCTTGGTGTCTCTAGAGGGGTCACCAGGCTCATCTCCCACTTCCAGACATGGAGGATGTTGTCGTAGAACGAACAAGTTGCTACAATGCTCGTTTCTTTCGGGCTGTCTAGAGACCTGGCCGAATCGCCGCTTCTGTCAAGGCCCGTTCCGTTGGGTCTGTTTGCTCCCGAGTGAGAAGGGCTGGCTGCCTCGGGATCTCCCCCGGCGTCAGCACCCCCAGCCAAATCTAAACTCCCCTTCAAATGAGGGCCCCTAACCAGGTCAGCATCCCCAGAGGGCTTTGCACCCCCCTCTGCTTTGAGTGGCAAGGCAGGGCCTTCACTCTCCTCATCCAATATCACATCAAAAGTGGCTGTAGGAGACTCATAAATTATCTTCAGGTTTTGGACCTGCAAATTCAGTCTCTCGTCTCCTTCCTCTGATCTTCCCACGAGTTCCTCCGAAGCCTGGCAGGCAGCAGCAGCAGAGTCCTGTGTTGCAGCCAAGGAATCCCTCGGACACAGCCTCGACCAGTCAGCCCCATAGGCCAAGGAATTGTGCAGGACATAGGATGACAAGATGATACATTCCTCCATGTTTTCCGCTTTAAAAAAAAAAACAAAAACTCAAACAAACAAACCAAACAACAAAATAAGCAAGATGTGAAATGGTGTGTTGCTCAGAAGCCATTCTAGCACTGTCTGTGTCCTACAGGAAGAGTTCTCTGGTTATTGTCTTTCTCAGAACAGAGTTAAACATTCTAGGAGGAATGAGGTTCTGCCTCGCCCGACAATTTTTCAGCCACCGCTCATTAGCCTTGATTTTCCACAGTTCAGTAAGAAGACAGGAGAATAGGGTTTAATGGGCATGAGGTTTAAGAGCCTCATTATCCAAAATACCTAAAAAGGCTCAAGAAAGCCAAGACAGATCACACAGTGATCCCCACTGAGCCATAAATACAACTGGTGAGATTGCCAGAGCAGGTTCTGGTTATCAATAAATTGCAGATGTGTTCTTCCCATGAGCTTTTAGCATCTGACTCTGACATTCCATGGGTATCATTCCCCACAGGGCAGAAATGTTATCCTCATCTCACAAGCTGTGGAACTGCCCAAAGGTTGGAGAAACCCAGGAAGGCAATTATTTTATGCAAGGTTGTATTTGTCACGTAAATGCAAACATCTTCTTAGTTATGTAAATACTTTTCACGTGGAGGACTTATCCATGTTATTCTAGATTAACTAGATGGCACAGCTCTTCCCTTCTGGGCAACAGCCAACTCGCCAGCAGGTCAGGAACTTGTGCTGACAGTAAAAAACCACCTGACATTCAGAAGAACCTCTTTGAATCATCAAGACGAATATAAACCTGAACGGTCACATCAACAGTTAATGCCTTCACACCAAGACAAACAGGCTTTCTGCCCTGAAAAGAAGTTACGATACATTTACACATGAATCACGACGGTGCCTTTTGCACAACCCATTGGGCCAAAAACGAACAGAGGTCTGGGAAAGCTGGAAGGGTTCCCTCAAGTCGGAATAAAAATCTATGACTATTCACAACATCTAGATCTTTCTAGCAAGCTCGGAGCTAGCGTTCCACCGAACACTCACCCAGGCTTCCGCGGCAGTCGAGGATTTTGAATCCGCTCTGCATGCAGGCTGCCAACAGCACAAAATCGCAGGTCGGGTGCCACTTCAGCCTCCAAACTCCACCTTCAACGTGGGTGTCTGCCAGCGGCTGCTTCATGTTCCTGGTGTCCCACAACAGCACGTGCTCGTCGTAGCTGAGGGCATGTCACAGATAAATATGCAGGCAAGCAGCAAAGCTGATTCAGCACGACAAGTACAGAAGAAGATCAGGAAATACAGCACGCTCCTCACCACGGCAAAGGTCTGAAGAGACCAAACCTTGAGCAGCGGCAGCACGTTCAGAGTAAGAGGAGACCGGTCACATCAGTGAAGAGCAGCTAGAAGGCATTTACCTGCCAGTAGCCAGAAGATTCTCCCGGTGGGGACTGCACTGAATGCTGCACACACCCATCGAGTGTCTGCAAAAGAGCAAGCACAGCAGAGGGTGAAGAGAGCAATTCGTGATTCGAGAAGGAATTCTTGAATTTCAAAGGCTTTGGGTGTACATTAACACATCAAGGTGCCTCAGGAAAGGAGAGCACTGTGAAGTCAAATTTCAGCTGGTGAAACACATAGGCAGAGTTCCATCTACACAGCCAACAGCCTACCCAGGGCAAAACTTCTACTCACAGAGTCTCTCAGCACAAGGATTTTCTAGTAACAGACTGCTGCTCTGAGCATGTTAAGAACTTCACCACAACTCCTCTCCCATGAGACTTTCCTCCCAACGCTAAAATTTCCACAGCGGTAATCCCCAGTTACATATAAAACTTCACTGAGGAGTTGTGTATATTGTTTTAATCACATTCTGAAAGATATGTTATACTACCAGAAAAAAGAGATTCAAGTGAATGAACAGTGGAAAATATTTTCTAAAAAATGTTCCATAATAACCGAATTTAATACACACAAAACAGAAGTGTAAATCCAGATCCCCCTTTTAGAAAGAAGCAACCTTCATGTGTGGGAGTGAGTCATGGAATCATAGAATCCCAGAATGTCTCAGGTTGGAAGGGACCTTAGAGATCATCTAATCCAACCCCTGCCATGGGCAGGGACGCCTCAACCAGCCCAGGTTGCTCAAGGTCTCATCCAACCTGGCCTTGAACATCTCCAGG